AGGCAACAGAGTGAGACTCCGTCTTAAAAAAAATTTAAAAAAAAAGAATCAACTATTGATACATGTAACAACATGGATGAATTCAAAATCATGCTGAGTAGCATCTGGATAATAATGAGCACATATTGTATGATTCCACTTATATAAAATTCTAGAAAATGCAAACTCATCTTTATTGACAGAAAGTGGATCAGTGGCTGCCTGGGGATGGGGAAAGGGGATTATAAAAGGGCACAAGGATACTTTTGAGAGTGATGGATATGTTTGTTATTTTGATTGTGGTGATGGTTTTATGGTTATAGATATATGTCAAAACTTATCAATTGTACATTTTAAATATGTGCATTTATCATATACTAATTATACTTCAGTTAAGCTTTGGGGGGAAAACAAAAAACAAGTAATATTCAGAGTCTATCTCTCTTTTGCCATTTTTATTATTTCCATCTGGTTTCATCCACCATCATCTTTCACCTGGATTACTATAATAGCCTCTTAACTGGTCTTCCTACTTTTTCTTTTTTTAAAACCCTTATCCCCTTCCAGTCTATTCTCAGCTCAACCACCAGGGTGTTCCTTTAAAGTTAAATCATGGCCCAGGTGTGTTGGCTCACACCTGTAATCTTGGCACTTTGGGAGGCCAAGGCAGGACAATCACTTGAGGCCAGGAGTTCTAGACCAGTCTGGGCAAAATAGCGAGACCCCTATCTCTACAAAAAAAATACAAAAATTAGTCAGGCATGGTGTTGTGTGCCTGTAGTCCCAGCTACTTGGGAGGCTGAGGCAGGATAAGCCCTTGAGCCCAGGAGTTTGAGGTTACAGTGAGTTATGATCGAGCCACTGCACTCCAGCCTGTGAGACACAGCGAGACCCTGTCTCCAAAAAAATAAATAAAACATAAAGTTAAGTCAGATCATGCTACTCCAACTCAAGACCCTTCAGTGGCTCCCTCTCCCATTCAGAAAAAAAAGCCAAAAGTGTTTCATGGCTCTACCCCATCCTTGTCATGTCTCTGATCTGATCCACTGTTCTCCCCGCACCCGGTCTCTTCACTTTGCATTGGTCTCCTTGCCACTTCTCAAAAATTCCAGACACACTCCCTCCCTTAGGCCTTTACATTGGTGCTTCTTTCTGCCTAGACCACTCCCTCACCTCTTTTGAATGTCACCTTCTCTGACCACCCTATTTTAAATTGCAGTGTACCCAATCTCTCTTACTTTGCTTTACTTTTTGCTTTATTCCATAGTACTTTTGACATACTCTGTAATTTACCTTTTTTGTGTTTTCCCATCTCTTCCCACTAAAATATAAACTACATGAGGGCTGGTATCTTTGTTGGTTTTACAATGCCTGGCATATAGTAGGCTCTCAAGAAATATTTATGAAATGAATGAGTGCTTACAGCACATAAATCTTCAAGATACATTGACAAATTACAGTAGAACCAAAGCAGGGAGAAGAGGAATAACAAGAGGTTTGAACTATACATGAGGAATAGTCCCCCTCTGTGTTGCCCCAAAAGACAGAGCTAGCCTAAACAAGCCAGATGTGGGCCTAGGCTGAGAAAGAACGTTTTTAAAATGACAATTTCTTAAAATTGTAATGGGCTGCCAGAAAGTAATGATCTCCTACTGGGTGAGGTCAAACAGAATGATCATCCATTCAGGATGAAAGGGGACTCAGCATGGAGTTCAAAGATTCTGTGATTTTGTAGTCCAGTTATTCCTGACAACATAGAATGCTGGATCAATAGTGAAGTTAATTTTTCAAATACTCATTTTATCTGACAAATCATTTCAAAGGTAACTTGATAACTTCATAATAATTATGATTATTTTAGCCACATAGTGATATATCTGAAAATTATGTGATCTATTATTTTAGCCCTTTATTATTTGCTGAAAATAAAATATTATTTTACTATCAGTTTTAACCTTCATATCTTCATTTCAGATTGCTTATCAGTATCATAGAATAAAATTTCCAATCTCCTAGAATTCAATCTAAGTTTTACATTTAAGAATTTGAGCTTTGTTGTTTGTTTTAGATTAAGCTTCTTCACTTTTTAAAACAGTTTCATAACATTCATTATCTTTTGTCTTTTATAGGAGCGGGATCGTTATGCCTACAAGATTCATCTTCCAGAAACAGTAGAGCAACTGAGGAAATTCAATGCAAGGAGGAAACTAAAGGTAAATTAAAGAAATCATCAAAAAGCCAGACAGATATAGTTAATGATAATGTTTTTATTCTGTTTCAGTGCCCATAAAGTGGCCATTGTTTTTGTTATAGCTAAATTCTCATTTCCAAAAATTATCCCCATTTAAATAAGATTTAGGCATTTTAAATCATTTAAGGTAACATCTAAGTATGATTCTAAACAATAAATTATAATAAATGGAAGATTACTTATATTTTAGATTTCTTGTCTTTAAAATTCATGGTAGAGAAATAGTTACATTATTATCCATTATTATTGAATATGAGTCTAGGCCATGTTTTCTCAAACTTAAATATTTTGACAGAAAATGTGAGTTTAGTTCAATGGAAATAATATTGAATTAGAATTGGAACTAGGATTGAATAACCATCACAAAACAGTAAATGAAATCCCCCACTACCTTGATCTACTAGAAAATACTTTCACGTCATTTTTCTCACCTTATTTTCTTTATTCTTCCTAGGTATCTTTCTCTCTTTTACTATTCTCCCTTTCACCTAACCACAAAAAAAAAAAGAAAAATGGTAATCACCCCATTTGGGGAGTCCATTTGATTTTAAAAGATTCAGAAAAAGACCTAACATAAAATAGCAGAGTCTTTCTAGCACTGGGAGAAAATGCTATGGGACAGCATACCCCCCACCCCCAGGGTAGCAGAAGAAACTTGATTATCTTAAGGTCTCAAAATTAATGTACATTTGACTTACTTTTGATACTGAAAATGTTAACTCTTTTCTAAGTGATTGATTGGATAGTAATCCTTCTTAGTTGTATGACTCGTGCCAATTATAAAAGTTTTCCTCCTAAGTATTGTCAGATATGTCTTAAATTGCAGTAATATTATTAATTTATTGTTATTCAATGCCTGAAGTTTGTGAATGATTGTATACAAGTCTAGATTTATGAGAACATTTATATGAATTTTCAGGAAACTATTATGCCACAATATTATCCTATAGGGCTGAATTGTCCAACATGATATCCACTAACCACATACAGCTATTTAAGTTTAAATTAAATAAAATTAAAAGGTCAGTTCTCCAGTCACCCTAGCACATTTCAAGTGCTCAGTAACCACATGTAGCTAATGGCTACCGTATTTGACAGCACAGATATAGGAGATTTCCATCATTATAAAAAGTTCTATTCGACAGTGCTACTGTAGAACAAGAGAAGTTTTAACATTTCATTGTTGGTGTTGATTAATTCCTACTTTAGCCTTTCTCGTGGTTGTTTTTGCAGTTCAAACTGGTTCTTCTCTATTTGTTTCAAAAATCCTTGGCAAAAATAGTTATTAATTATATGCCATTACTGAGATGGTGCCCGAAGAAGTTTCCCGAGACTTTTTTTTTTTTTGCCTTGATATCTGCTTGAATCGGTGTAGCCTACAAAAGAAAAAAAAAATCTTATTATCCAAAGTGAAATTTGGTCAGCGGTTTTTGAAGTTAGTTCCCTCCCCAAGGAAACTATTAATTATACTTCTCATCTATTCCCTAAGTCTTTTTAACTCTAATGCTGCTTTGGCCTCAGGCGACATTGCACTATGCAGGGTTGAACTTTTCATTGCCCAAGAAGGACTTGGACTTGCCCCATCATAAGAAACACACGCTGTACTTCTCCCAGTGCCACAAAATCCGACTTGGGCCTAAAATAGCCAAAGTGGTGACTAAGATTCATTTGGACAGAGCCAAGCTGTCACAGCAGAGAGGGGTCATGTGGATTTACCACATCCCTTTGTAGGACTATTTAAAGTTTTAAGACTCACCAAACAACCTAGAATTAGGAACATCAGCAGGGTTATTATTGAATGTTTTCAGCTTCTGGTAAAGCTATGTTCCTTTGAGTAGTTCAGCCACCACGTTAAAACATGTTATACTGACCATCCTCAAGGAGCTAATTCTAATTGCAACTCTTCTGCAATCTTCTAGAACAGAGATTACAACTTCCCTGGCTTTCTGAGCCCACCACACACCTTATTTTCACGCAGCTAGGTGCCCATCCTTCTACCTAGACACTGTTTTTAACCTCCTCAAGTAATAGGTGACAGCCTAATTTTTATGACTCCCTTGGAAGTGATTGAAAGGGAAGTTCACAGAAAACAGTAGAAAATTACTTTTGTTCCTTAGTCATGACAGAATGATGATAGAAAATTTCTATCAAAATGGGAAACCCATTTTGGTTACCAGACATTTCATGTGTTAGGTTTTTTCCTCCTTTTATTTCATACTAAGCTCTAGAATTTTAATACTTCAGTAAAAAAAAAATGTTCTAGAAACAATACTTTCTTTAATAAACTACATAGTTCCTGATCACAGAACTAGATATGAGGATCATATTTTCTCAAACTGAATATTAGGATGCATGGGGCAGACTATGTGATCTTCAGGCTGTGTGGTAAATCTTTCCTCTGTGGGTATGGAGCTCTTAAGGGGGGACACTTGCACTCTAACCCTGGGTGTCATCTACTGAAGGAGTTACTGAGCAAAAGGGTGTCTGAGTATTTGAGCTTGTCTATCTAGAGAAGAGGTTCAGGAGGGAATCTGTTCTAGAAGTCATCCCCATTGCTTCATCCATCATTTCTACTCCTAGAAAGCAAATTTCCCCACAGTGATGTTGAAGAAATTCTGTGTAATAGACACAATATTCTATATTTGGGTAAGTTATTGCAATCAGTTTAGAAAATGGTGAGTTGAATCCATGTTATTCAATTAAGAGGAGAAAAACCACTTATTCCCTGTACATACAGAAAGCAAGGATTTCCGATAACTTTCTACAATTTTCCTTTGTTGATTTTGCAAAATGCAAAAGTTTTCTCTGACTTACCAATTGATCTCTTGCATTCCTAAACTGTGCATAACTGGGAAAGGTTTGTTTAGCAGTGCTGTTTTCCAGTACTTTATAGAGCTGCACTATCCATTGCAGTAGCCACTAGCTATATGTAGCTACTTACATTTTAATTTTAATAAATTAATATTAAATAAATTTTAAAGTTTGATTTCTGAATTGTACTAGCCACATTTCAAATGCTCAGTACCACATGTGGCTGATGGCTACTGTATTGGAGTACAGGTAAAGAATATTTCCATCATCATAGAAAGTTCTATTGTATAGTACTGCTATATGGAATCTTGGTACCTCCAACAGTAATGCTTATATCTAAGCAGCACCTTTTGAGAAGTCAACCAGGAAGCTATAATGTCTACTTTTTGACAATCTTCCCCTTTCTATTAATTCAACAAGAGCTAACATAAGGATTTATCCAAGACCTTTGTGCCTTAATGAAACCCAGCATTTACTACAGTTCCCTGTAGTGAGAGTTTATACAAAGGCAATAAGTTGGGACAGCAATTATTGTGGGCTCCAGCTAATCAGAATATTAAATCTGGTATCCAAAAGGTACATTTGATTCTAAAAACTGAAAACTGTTGTTCTGGTATGAACAGTTCCACAAATAATAATTTAAGTGATTTTGATCTTCCTATATTGATTTTACAAAGCAATTCTATTAATTTGTGATTCTAAAATGTAGAATTTATTACTTCCTATTGGGGCAACATAGCTTTTGAAAGTTATCATGTACCTTTAAGACCATCTTTATAAAATACTTTTATGTAGACTCAAGAGGATTTCTAAGATATCCATATCATAGATATTCCATGCAATTGCTCGTAAATGTAGCCATGTCTAGTATGCTTGGAAGTCTCATTTTTCATTTTCTTTAGAGAAGATAGCACAGCCTCTTTTAGTCATATATCCTGACTGGATGTTATTAAATTCCAGGTTTTAGACCTGTGTTTAGAATATGTTTGAATATCATATACATATAGGATGGCAGACACTAAACTGGATGATAACTTTGGTTGTGACTATGTGGAAAGATATCAGAAGTTCTGATTTAATCAGTGATCTCACCTAATTATCATTTAGGACCTAATTCTTAAATGTAATCAACCCAAATCCTTTAACATTTGTACCTTGAAATAATTTTCTAGCCTTTTAGTCATCTCTGTTCAGTCTCAACCTCTCCAAATTCTCTACCCGTTTTAAGGCTTTGAATTCAGTGTTCTGAATCCTAATAGGATGATTCTCTCTCAAATTCCTTTGTCGCACTTGTATTGGCATGTTCCATCAAAGGGCTTCCCCCCTTTCTGTATTTCCTCAATATATTTCCCCCTCAGTCAGCAATATGACTATGTGTTACCTTGCCATTTGGCTACAAAGCCAATTATTCTACATCTGATACTTGTGTATTTTGTATTTAGACTTTTTAAAATGTACCTTGCTGCTCTTGTGCCTGTCAGACTTGTGCTTGTTTCTCAGCTTAGTTAGGGAGTACCAAAAAGAGAGTACTGGTTTTTTTTTTTTTGTCTTCAAGTCAGTAATACATCTCTGTTCAACTCTTGTGTTCCTCAATAATTTTGTTGCTTCCTCAAGTACATTCAGTAGTTTAACTTAGCAGAAGTCTGAGCTAACCATTTTCTTGTTTTCCACTTCCTTAAATGTCACACAGAATCATCTAGCCAGAAGCATTCCATTTTGATGTTTGACATATTGACATTTCAAGAAAACTATAATTATGATTAATTTAAGAATTACTTATAGTCCTCTTTTTCTCTGAATTTAGGATCTAAGTTGATTTGCTTGGTAGAAAATTACAAATTTAATGTTATTTATCTTAACAAATTATGCATAGACTTCTTAGCTCAAAATTATGATGTTTCACTCTTAAAGCATACCAAAGTATACCTTCTAAATTAAAGCAGCAAACTTCCTTGTCAAGGGTCTAATAAATCAGAAAGAAGAACCACTTGTGTAAGATCTGATTTTATATTGTCATACCCACCGGCTCTTAAACAGCAATAGTGTAGTACAGGGGTTGGCAAACTACAACCTGGGGGCCAAATACAGCTCACTGCCTATTTTTGTATATAAAGTTTTATTAGAACA